TATATTTTTGAGAAACCATGAAAGACAAGAGAACTAATTATACATGGATAAGTTAAATCCCAGCATCTTAGAGAAAATACCATGCTAAAACATTCCAAACTTATTAATAAGCCTTTTTCTGACTTTGGCAGATTAATCTCAGTAAAAGGAGTTCAGTGGAACACAATAAAATAATTATATATGTTTTCCATGGTCATGTACTTTGTCCGAAAATATATATGCACCATTTCTATAATATATATGTATATATAATATTGTGCATACGTATGTACGATGTATATATACTGTCGCTATAATTCAAAAAACTAGAAGCAGATAGTGACTGTGTATAAGACTATGAACCGAGTAAGATTTGCTCCATATACGTAGAAATATTCTCAATTACTTAATTTCTTGATGATTAATCCTATGATTACTAATACTTGAGCCTTTTCAGTATTTATATCACGAAGTATTAAGAAGACAGCTCAAAGAAAAACAGTGTTGGTGCTTTTACAGTAACAGAAATCATAGAATTTTGGAACCAGAAAGATTTAAAAAATCATTCACATATGAGGCCCAAAGAGATTCACTAGTTTGTCCAAATTACACAGCTGGTTCCTGATATGCCAGGACTAGTGATTCCCAAGCCAGTGCATACTTAATTCTATACAACATATAAAAGTAGAAAACAAAGTAAAAATCTGTACATAATCTAACTAGAAATATAAAGCTACATTTTTAATAATAATAATAGTAATATAATTCGCCTCACTGGAAACAAAGTGGTCTTTTGAACATAATTAATTAACATTAAATTAATAAACTGTCACCAGCACTTAAGTGAAAATATAAAATTAAAAAAAAATTCTTAGTAACTGCTGTAGTATCATATAAAAAAGCACACAATAAGCTAAGTACAAAGAACTGGTGATTACTGTGATCAAAAAATGAAATAATTTGTCTATGCGGGATTAGTAGAAACAAACAAATACCATCATAAACCTCTTGTAATACATAATACTTGTGCCAAAAGATATTAGAGTGCCACATAAATTTCAGGTCCCTGGAGAACTGCTCAATTTGGTTAAGTCACAAATGAAATACTGCTTTTAGGAGAGAGGTATGGAAAATGAAAAGTCAATCCAGATTATATTCAACACAATATTTTATAAAACCCATGAAATAACCTGGAAGTACCTTTTAAAATACAGATGAAAGGGGAATCATAAAATCCTGATATATTATCAGTAAACATGTTCTCAAGTGGAAAGAGTGGTAAAGGTATATAAATGGCAGAGATGATAGTATTCTTGAATTAGAGGACTGATTCCCAATAAGGAGTAATAAACAGAAAACCTGAAGTTTTAGGTAACCA